AAGATCACAAACTAAAAACCAACTTAAATTATGCATTAATTGAAGTTTGGAGACATTTTAAAATGATTTTTTTCAGAACCGCATCTGACACTTGTGATGGTCGGGAGATGGCCAGGCTGGGGGGGTAGCGGTGTGTGACAGCTCTTCTTCTGAATAAATGAAAACTATGTAACACAGGTGTTTACATTTAAATTAAAAATATTTGATCAAAGGAAAACCGGAGCAGGACTACAGAGAGATGAATATGGTTTAGATTTTTATTTCTGTGACTGTACGACCCACAGGAGACACGACATTAACAGCAGTCGTTATGTCATTCCTTGGCTTTAGCAGGTCTGACGCTGCTAAAAATGACAGTTTTTTTTTTCTGGATCTTTCGTTTTTACTTTGTGATGTCATTTATGAATGGACACTTCCTGGTATGTGGGTCAGGAAACGTACTGTATATCCTTATATGATGTTTTTGGGGTGGTAATTAGGCTAATCTCCTCTCCTCGTACATGAGCACCTGGATACACATTCATCAGTTTACGCTCCTCATTTACACACTTTTCCTGAAGATAGAAGAGTTTGTTGAATCTGACGTGACATGTTCGTACGAACAAAAGTAAGAGAAATTTAGGATAAGAATATGAACATGTTCTTACATGAGGCCCGATGTCTCAAGCCACTGTGCGAAAACAATCAACAAATCCAAGGAAGCCAGCAGATTGCATTTAAACTTCACTTCACCACAAGCTGTGTTTCCATCCAATTTAATGCGCATTTTGAGCAAACTTTTAAAATGTCGCAAAAAAATGCACATCAAACATCTTTCAATCTACTGGCTTGGMGTGAATCAACCAGGCTACGCAAACTGCATTTACGTCAAACACTGACATTACACATGTCTGTAGTAAACAGGAAGTAAAGTCACAAACTCACAGGGACACATCTCAGGACAACTGAGAGAAGTTATCAGGAACGTGTTGCTACTATTGGAAAGTCATATCAACTAGTATTGGTGATGTTACTGCTGTCTGGAGACATAGAAGAAGAAATGTAATTCTCTTCATGTTACGGGATCATCCAGGAAGACGCCGACAGCAGGAGGAGGGTCCAGCTGCAGCCGCTACAATTATTGGACAGTGGGAACAGCTGCTCGAGGTAAATGTTTGCTACGTCAGAACTTATTTGGCAAATGTGTTTCCATCTCTCTTTTGTGCGTTAACTGTTTTTCGGAAAATCCAAAAACCACCTCAAGCGAGCGTAAAAACTTTTTTTTGCGATATTGAGGAATTTTTTTGTGAATTTTGCAGTTTCCATGAACTTTTTGTAATGCAGTACTTCAAAACGCGCAAAAAAAAAACTGATGGAATCACGTTTACAGTCTCTCTTCCTGAGCAGCACATAGGTGACAGTGGAAAAGAAAAACTCCCTTTTTAGTGCAAACATTATAGCAAAAAGAGGCAAGGAGAATTATATCAGCTATAAGATGTCCCAAACGAGGCTTAGTGACTCAATTATAAATATTATTGAGGCTTTTTAAACATATTTTCTGAGCCTGTATTCCAGCAGTGGTTCACCTTCAGAGGAGGATTTTGAACATCTCTTTGCAAGACTTGACCTGCCAACACTAACTATGGAAGAAACACCATCAGACTGGATGTGTTGAAATCTTCCTGCAATAAAAAGTTAAATGAGAAAAACCACTCCGCTGAGTACGAGTTCACCCAGCTAACTCTGAAAGCCTGCACAGCTAGGCAACACAAACTGAAGAGAAGAAACAAGTCTCCTCAGGATGAGCAAAAAAAACAGAACTGGGGCCCGGAATCTTTTTCTTTTCATGATCAACTTATTGTTTGTGGCAAAAATAAGTATCTGTTGCCTTTAGAAGCTGTTGGAAAAAAACTGCACTACATATACAACTACTGGAAGACCTGTGATGTATAAAAAAAGTTCACCATCATCTGGTATCTTTCTTCTCACTGCTGATTTAAAAAACACAAACAAAATGACCACAAAGTGCAAAGTAGAGCAACAGAGGTGTTGAGCACATGATGGCATTGTTTTAATAGCCTCATTAAATGTCTGTAGTCTGTTAGTACGTGCTAATAAAAGGAGAGGTCCAGTTTACACATTTTCATCCTCGGTCCAAATGAGCATTCATGTATTCACCATTGTGGCTATAACTTTCTTCATGTTAGAGACTGAAGTGTCTGCCTGCATAAGCATGTCAATGAAATACAAAACAACAGTGCCACCTGGTGACCTGGCATGGAAACTACAACATATTTAATGAACTCAGCCTTTGAAATGTGACTTTTCTACTATCAAAATAGGTACTCAGTATTGATTATTTAACCGTAAATGGTTTTTGGGATATCTCCACAGTACTATTTAATGTTGGGAGAAGAACTCATGAAAGACCTGCACTGATGTGATGCTGAAAAGTAATTAAATATTTAAAGAAGGACTAAATCAGCTCGCACGTTTCTGTTACCAGACAAGTTCCGAGCTGAACAGATCTAGATGTTCTGAACTCGAGCTGAGACCAACAGCAGCTTTGATCATCAGAGTGAAATCTGACCTTGGCCTTCTTGAGAACATGTCCGCGGACTGGGGTGGGTTTCTGGCCGCTCTGCTGCCGGCGGAGCAGTGAAGCGCTGTTGACCGGCAGGGAGCAGGACTCTGCATCACTGGTGTCACAGCTGGAGAACGGAGAAGACTCCTGTGTTCTTCGAAGCATTGCTGGAGACTACAAACACAGGCAATAAATAAAAGAAGTGAAATTAGCCTGGTGACAACATTCAGTGTCCTAGYCACTGTAGGAGAAGCAAGGCCTCACTAATGAAGGAGTTCTGACCTGGAGGCCGGAGGAACCGGGTTTAGGTTCGATGGTGAGGCCCAGAGTGACCCCTCCACTCAGGGCTTTCTTCAGACTTTCCTTCACCTCGGTGAGCTCCAGCTCCAGGTTCACCCGCTCCTCCTCCTTCTGTTTGCACTCATCCTCCACCTTCTTCAGGCGCTCCGACAGCGACACAAGTGAGCGTTTTCCTGATGGGTGCAAACACAAAAATCACCTCAAACTTCATCTGGCAGGATCCTGAAAGAAAATATGTTTTCTTTTTGTTTTTCTGTTCTCTCACCAGCAGCAGCCTCCACGGCAGTGCGCAGGTCCCTCCTCTCCTTCTTCAGTTGGGTCAGGTGGCTCCTGATCTCCTGCTTCTTCTTCATCAGCTCATCCTCTTTGGCCTGCAGTCGCTTGGCATCGGCCTCCACACGATTCTTGCCATATTTGCACTGTTCGTCATCTGCACAACACATACTTGGCATAAAAACACTGTGGAGGCAAGAAGCTGAAAACAGACCGCGAGACTTGAACTGCCCAGAAACCCAGTGAACTCTGAACCACAGTCTTGAAAGACCATTGATGAGCAGAAAACAGAGTCGTGGCAACTGTCCACCTGGCTTTTTCAGACTGAATGTGAGGAATTGAGGAATGTTTTGACATTTAAGGAAGAGATGAGTTTCATGAGTGGTTCTGGCTCCTTTTGTTTACAATAAACAGAAAAACCACAAACATAAACACAGCCTCGTTCTCCAGCTGCTACTGTCTCACAGTTGTTCTACGAAACTCTGATCTTTTCCAAATGTATCAGCTGGATCAGCTCATGGGTACACAGTATAGTTTAGGCCTTCAAAATACCCCCCCACCCGCACACACACACAAACATTTTTTTCTACTGTACTCATGGGGAATTCGCATTGACATCCAACAATTTACCATTTTCAGAACATAACCCTAACCTAGCCATAACACTTTACCTAAAACTGATCACACATGCTTAACCCTAACCCCACACTTACAACAAACCACACAGAGTCATGCTAACCCTAACCCCTTACCTAAAACAAACCACATAACAATATGCCCAAGTCTAACCCTAACCTCTTAAATCTAACTACACAGGTACATGTCTTGCCATAACACTTTACCTAAATCTTACCACACAAATACATGCCTAACCCCTTACCTAAAATTAACAACATATATATATATATACACAGTATATATATA